CTGTGTTTCCAACAACAACAATAACAAAAATAACATTAAAAATCATAGAAACGCAGCAAACATGGAAATAAGCTCCAGGAGCCCACTTGGTCCTAGCAACTTTTGAAGTCATTTGTGTGTTCTTTGTCATGATCCCTCCAGCTGGAAGAATGTCTTCAACCTATTTCAGGTGTCTGAACTTCTGCTGGATGCTGATTGGTCTAGTTTGGTAATGCAATGAAGAAGAGACAAATGAAGAAGATGCAGGCAAAAGGAATACATTCATTTACTGGTGGGTCCTCTTGGCCTGGGGAAAGTCCTTGCTAACGTCCTCCATCCTGCTGCTTCACTCTTCTTTAAATCAATGCTGTTTTTGCAAATTTTAACTTGGAAATATTTCTTAGCTTTATCCAATTGTGTCAAATTTTCTTTCAGTCCATTACCACGTCTTCCTAAGACTATATTCTAAATGGTCTCCATGCTTTCACTCTGGTAGCCTTCAAATTTATCTTCCACGTTTTTGCTAACATGCAAAGTTGTATACATCACTTATCTGCTTAAAATTCTTCAGTGAGTCTCTGTCACCTGCAGGAAAGATCCAAAGCTGCCTGAAAAGAGGGGTTGGTTCTGTTATTTTCTGTTGGGTTGATTGCTCAGCCCGTCAGTACTGGCTTAAAAAACAATGGTCAAGCAAAACAAAAAAAGAACTTGAATTTTCATATGAAGATCATTTTTTATTTCAGGACATGTTGAACTTTTTGATTCTCTCTTAAAAATTATTTTATTTGAAAGGCAGAATTACAGAGAAAGGACACACACACATAAAGTTGGAGGGAGAAAGAAAGAGAGAGAAAGAGAGAATGAGAGAGACAGAGACAAAGAGACAGATCTTTCATCTACTGATTCACTCCTCAAATGGTCACATTAGCTGGAGCTGGGCTGATTCTAAGCCAGTAATTAGGGGTCTCCTCTGGATCTAGGTAAAGGGGATTAAGAATTTAAGTCATCTTTTGTTGCTTTTCCCAAGCCATTAGAAGGGAGCTGGATTGGAAGTCGAGCAGCCAGGGCTTGAACTGGTTCCCATAAGAGAAACAGGCATCACTTGTGATGGCTTTATTTGCTATGCCACAGTGTTGGCTCCAGGAACTTTTTGATTCTTTACATGCTTACTTTTCATTATTTCTAGAGTATTTGTTCAGTGAATGAAAAATGAATGTAAAGTTGTTGAGACATAAATTTTTTTTCCTGTTTTTTAAAAAAATTTTTTTTATTACATTGCATTATGTGACACTGTTTTTTAGGCACTGGATTTCCCCTCCCCGCATGGTGGATTCTTCCACCTTGTTGCATTGCCACAGTTCAAGTTCAGCTGAGGTTTCTTCACTGCAAGCATATACATACCAAGCATAGAGTCCAGCATCTTATTGTCCAGATAAGTTCAACGGCTTCATGTGGAGACCATCTCAGGTCTGAAGGTAGAGTCGGCAGAGTGTCATCCCGACCAATCAAAAGCCCCAACATAACATCTGCAACAATCCACAACATCATGGAATTAGTGGACATAGTATTGAGTAACCAATATGTTAATTTTTTTTTTTTTTTTTACATTTTACAGGTAGTATTTTTCATACTGACATCATTTCATCTTAAATTAAGGCAAACATGTGGTATCTAACTTTTGGGTTTGGCTTATTTCCCTTAGCATTATGGTTTCCAGTTGGGCCCATGTAGCCACGAAGAACTGCATTTTATTTTTTTAAATCGCTGAGTAGTATTCCATGGAGTAGATGAACCATAGCTTTCTTATCCAATCTTCTGCTGATGGGCATTTCGGTTGCTTCCAGAGACATAAATTCTAAGCAAGATTTAATGAGCTAGCTGGCGACAAGAATGAAGCAGTCACCACCTTTCACTCAGCAATTATTTGTTGAGATCCTATTAGATTCTCAGTGCTATATTAAGCTTTGGGACCAGGGTTGTGGTGCAGTGTGATCTTCCATATAACTAATGGTTTGGGTCCCAGATGCTCTACTTTTGATCCAGCTTACTTCTAATGGTCTGGGGAAGTAATTGAAGATGGCCCAAGTTTTTGGACTCCTGTCACCAACCTGAACATCTCAGGAGGAATTCCAGGCTCCTGACTTTGGAGCTGGCCCAGCCCTGGCCATTGTGACCATTTGAGGGTGGTGAACCAGTGAATGAAAGATTTTTTTCTCTCTATTTATCTCTACATTTAACTCTGCCTTTCAAATAAATAAAATACATATTTTAAAGAAATGTAATATATAGTCCTTGCAGACAAACACTTAGAAACTAGGGCCATTATAGGGGCCAGTGTTGAGGCACAAGGATTTAAGTTGCTGCCTGCATTGTTGGCATCCTATATCAGTTCCACACCACTTTCAATCTAGCTACCTGCTGATGGCCTAAAAAAAACAGAAGATGGCCCAAGTGCTTGGGTCCTTGCCACCTGACAAGAGAGAACCCAAATGAAGTGGCTGGTTACTGGTTCAGCCCAGCCCTGGCCAATGTGCCCATTTGATAGGTGGGTGAACTAAGAGATGAATGATCTTTCTACTTTCTTTCTTTCAAATAAATAAATAAATAAATAAATAAATAAATACATCTTTTAAGAAAATTGTGGGCCTAGAATAAACATGAATTGAAAGTTAAAGAAATGGAAGCATATGAAACAATGTAGACGCTGACCAGGAGGCAAATGCATGACATGGATGCAATTGTTCTGATACCTGAAAAGGGAGCACTATTCTGGACCTCAGAGTTAATGAAACAAAGTGTGGGGGTGAATGCTCCCAGTGCTGGCATGCTAACCTGAATGATCTGGCTGACAAGGAGGTATTTGTCTTGAAGAACTCAGATTGGGAAGCCTGTGGATGACTATGTATCTGAGGATAACAAGTTAGATTTCATCTGTCACCATATGATTTGGGAATTCCAATCTTGTTCTAAGAGAAATCGCAAATTATGGCCATGTGAAAACATGTATTCAAGTGTTTACAGCAGTGTAGTGAGGCTATATGACAGTAGTCAAAAAATGAAGAATGGTAAAACAAAATGAGGCCGTTCCACGCAATGACTGTTACTGAGTCACAGAAAGGAATGGTGTTCTGATCCATGGGATGCTGCAGATGAACCTTGGAAACATTAACTGAAAGAATGCAGACAGAAAAAGGCCATGTCCCTTATGATTCCCATTACACAAAATACGCAAAACAAGCAAGTCCACAGAAACAGTATGTAGATTAGTAATTACCAGAGGCTGAAGGGAGGAAGGAATGAGAGCTAAATTCTAAATAGGGTATTAGGTAGGATGCTTTGTTGTGTCACAGTGAGTTAAGTCACCTTCCATAACACAGGCTTCCCATGTGGGTGCCGGTTTGAGTCCCGGCTGTTCCACTTCCAATCTAGCTTACTACTGGTGGCCTAGGAAAAGCAATGGAATATGACCTACATGCTTGGGCCCTTGTCACCCACATGGGAGACCCAGATGAAGCTCCTGGCTTCAGCCTGGCTCAACCATGGCTGTTGCAGCATTTTGAGAAGTGTACCAAGATGAAGATTTGCCTCTTTCTCCTCTCTCTTTGTAGTTCTGTCTTTCAAACAAATAAATCTTTAATGCGAAATAAAGTGTCTGGGATTTCTGGGATCATTTATTGGCCATCCACTCACAACTTGATGAATATATTAAGAATCTACTAATTGTGCACTTCAAAATGGTGGATTTCATGATACGTGAATTATCTCATTAAAGTTATTATTGAAAAACAAAATCCGCAGTATGAACCAACTATACCAGAACTTCTGGAATTGGGAACACTGGGCCAAAGATTTCCTTTTAAAATTTCTTGATTTACAGAGAGCATTGGTAAGTATATAGGAGAAAGTATCTTTAGTTTAGTTCTATTCAGCTTCCTTCTACATAAAGCAAAATCAGAACACATGAATTCAAATGCAGGTTAAATTGCAAAGTTTGTTTGTATAGATGCTAATTTTATTTGGCTCTTCAGTATAAATAGATAAGGTATTGCCTGAAATAGCCATTTTAATAATGCAGTGGTAGATCACTATCAACACATCCTAAGACAATAGTGTTTGACTTTGCATTGAGATTTGACTCAAAGATGCATAGTGATTTTCTCTCTTGGGCCAAGTTAGGAGTGGTCACTTTCTGGCAAAGTGGATCCTTGTGTGATGAAGAATGGTGTTTCAGTGATCCGTGTCTTCAGTGCTACTGGCTAACTTGGGTTTTGCTTCTGGTTATGTTCACAGTGACTTTAGATAAGCCTTGTAATGTTTCTAGCCCTCATACAGTAATTTGAAAAAAAAAAGCCAAAATATATTGTCATGTGCCAGTCAGTGAGAACACAAGGCATGCCTTCTTTATAAATGTATGAATAACAAAATCTAGAATAGATCTGCTAACTTCAATACTTCCCAAATAGTGATGAATAGAAAAATACACAAATTTCTTGAGAAGGGTGTTTACCATACATGCTTTGGAAATGAAATGAAAGCAAACCCTCTGGTTTCTTTTTCCCCCCTTACTTTTTCATTCTGTTCTTGGAATAGCCACCACTGAATGTCAAGATGTTTAAAAACATTTTCATGCATTCACCAAAGCCTGTATCACAACTTACAAACCAATCTGTTCATGCATGTGCCAAGCATTAAAGGCATTTCCAAATATAACAGTCAGAAAATTGGCTGAAGGCATGACTGACATCTTAGGAATCTCAACTCAGATTTAGCAATCCTGAGCACCTCGCTGTGGTACTCAGTGCCAACAGAAGGCCACGTTCTGCCTTCCAGGTGAGAACATGTCCCACTCAAAGGAAGGTGAAAACAACACCAAATGTAAACTACTAAACTCTTGGTGCCATTGTCTTCATCTGCCTGGAGAAAGCCTGTGTTGATCTTCTCATATGATTAATTAACACTTCTCAATTTGAGGAAAAAATTATTCTTCCATTCTTGTTCTAAGCAAATGGTTCTTCCCGCAGAAAATAAGATTTTGGTGAAGCAGTCTCCCATGCTCGTGGTGCAAAACAACGAGGTCAACCTCAGCTGCAAGTATACGTACAACCTCTTTTCGAAGGAGTTCCGGGCATCCCTTTATAAGGGAGCAGATAGTGCTGTGGAAGTCTGTGTAGTGAATGGGAACTTTTCACATCCACGTCAGTTTCATTCCACTACGGGGTTCAGCTGCGATGGAAAATTGGACAATGAAACAGTGACTTTCTTCCTCAAGAATCTGCACGTTAACCAAACAGATATTTACTTCTGCAAAATCGTGATCATGTATCCTCCTCCTTATATAGACAACGAGAAGAGTAATGGAACCATCATCCATGTGAAAGGTAACATGCAACTCTACCTGAGAGTGACCCCATGGTTTACCATTGCAGCCCTGAAAACTGGTTCGTGGTTAGTGCTGAGGTTGGGGAAATCCCAAGGGATCTGATGCTAATGGAAGCAAATATATATATATATAATTAATGTTCTTCCATTTTAGAGGAACTTCAGGTTATGGTTTGAATCTCTTTACTTTCCCTCATTGGCAATGGGCAAAAAGAGATAGTCTGTGGTTACGTGTCATTGACAAGGTTATTCCTGATTCCAATGGTTCATGGAAAGGTTGTTAATAAAATGCAAGCCCAGTTATTCTGAGAAGGGAGCTTCATTTAATGGGTTAAGACTTAAGAAGAATGGGTTCCATCTCTAATTAATTTTCTCTTGATGCTTCATGATCCTCTTCAGTGAAAATTTCAATTTCAATAAAAAATGGATTCTTTTCCATTTGCTACCAGCCAACTGTGTGTTTGTATTTCATCCATACTCTGATGTTTAGAAGGAAGAAACTATAATTGACAATGTACTTAACTGCCTTTCTCTTAGGATGTATTCTTTTTCATTTCAGAGCAACATTTTTGCCCAGCTCACCTATCTTCAGAATCATCAACGTTCTTTTGGGTGCTGGTGGTCGTTTGTGGAGTCCTGGCTTTCTACAGTATGCTGCTCACAATTATTCTTTTTTCTTGCTGGGTAAGAGAAACAACAATGCTTTTATGTGAGTCCCCCACTACACATGCACTCTGAACATACTCAAGAATGTTGCCTAGGTGGTTTGTTTTCTGTTTTACATGTAATTATGACTGTTTTCTTTATTCCTGCCAGACTTGGTTAGGTTCTCTTTCAGCCTTTTCAACTTTATCTGAGATAAAACGGGGCATAAATTCTGTTTCAGAAGGCAGTGAATAAGAAGCTAAATGAACCAAGAGGTGAGAAGTCAGGGACAGTTACCTTTCTTTTTTGTTCATAATTGTGGCTAATACAGTTTTAACACATGCATAAAAATCTAGGCAACTCAGGAAGCAAGGCAACTGAATCCAATGAACAACTGTGGTTCAGGGACAAAAAATCATGAGAGACTTGGCTACTAAAATTGTGTATTCAAATCTAGAAGAAACTAGGTCTGTTTATCTGAGTCATATTTTTGTCTTCTCTGAAGCAGTTGAATTCTGTGAGACCAAGTATGGTATTATCATTATGAAACTGTAATGGGAGCTAAGCTTTTCTGAGCTCTCACCACTGAATTGGAGCTTAGCAGTTTTTGCAAATGCTCATGCAGTACACTTGGCATGCCTTTTTTTCATCTTCCTTAATGTTGAATTTTTGGCCTACGTTTCGGCATATTTTGATGACCATATCTATTGTTGAGAAAAGGCCTCTAAGCAAAGATCTTTTAGAAGACTTCCCTCTTTTGTGCACAGCTTGATGCAGAACTTCATACATTGATTCCATGCTGTCTTTGAATATCTTTCCACAGAAACTAGATTCATATATATGAGTCTTCAAAAAAAATGCAAGCTTCCCAAGGAAAGGAATATTTCTCTTGATATTTTCCATTCATTTTGATGTTAAGTATATTAAGTGCTTATTGGATTGACAAACTGGCAATCCCAACAGGCCAAAATAAGGATTTAACTTAGTTTGCCTGAAGTCTGACACTCTTTCTTGAGATATAATTCATACATTAAATGAAGCCATAAATGGGTCAGTGATTTCTGAAAGTCATACCACGGTTTGAAGCTATATTCTTGGCTAGAGCCTGGATGCTGAAGACACAGCTCTGGATTTTCCATCATACAGTTCTGTCATTCATCCTTAGATTCTTGCAAATTCTTGCTGGCCTCTTGCTGGAGCTTGCCTCTAGGTTGTTCCCCACAGGTTCCCTGAAGTTCACAGTGCCCCAGGGGATTACATTTGTCAGGCTGATGTGGCCTAATCTGTATCTTCTTTAAGGTTGGGAAACAAAGTGGTCGCTTGTCCCTGGAAATTCTTTATATATGATGAATGTATGAGATATCATATTGGGGATTTTCCTGGCTTGTTTTCTGTAGGCTACCCAATTTTGATAGGGTGCTTTAGCACACACACAAAAAATCTGAAGTTCTGCCTCAGATGTTATCCATCTGATGTATCCTTCTGGGTTTCGGTGTCTTCATCCCAATGCTGAAATCCTCTGTGATATTTGCCCATGATTTTAGAATCATTAGTTCTGATTGTCCCCTAGTTACTTTTAGGGATTTTATGCCGGCGTTATTGCTGTTCAATCCTCTCACTGGAAATCTCAACTTCCTAACGTAAAGGCCAGGAGCAGTGGCCCCTGGAGTGTCCTTCCTGGAGAGGTATTTCCTTGTGATATGTTGACCTAGGTCAAAGTAATTTACCAGCTATGTATGAAGTAGTTTTGTGAATTGCTTTACTCCTCAGTTGCCAGAAGGATACTGCCCATCATTTAAAACTTATTATGAATATGCATTAGAATGTTAGATATTATAATGAGGCACTAATTTGCTGAGTGACTCAAAGCACCCAAAAGGACAAAAGCAACTCTTTACTTTCAGTGTGTTAAGCAGTTCCTTTCAACTCAAATATATTGTAGACACTACAAATTTTCTTTTGATGCCACTCCTAATTCCTGGTGAGGTTCATCTTGCCTTCTTTTGAGAAAATTTATTTGGTCTTACATGCCTCATTGGCTTCCTGTGAGTTGGACAGACTTAGAATTTAGTGTCATGTCACCTCTGGCTTCTTGTATTCCATCATATTGGCCAATAAGGTTTAACTTAAACCCAGGTCTCCATATTCTCTTTCAAAAGCTATGGTCATGCAAATTTATCTGTATTTCATAAAACAGCATTTTTGCCCTGGGCTTATCTTTCAATATTGCTCTGCAACAAGCATCATATGCATCTAGGCCATTAAGGATCCCCAGAGTTTAGCCTTTCCGAGGTAATTTTCTAGGCTCCTATTTTTGGCAGATCTGCAGTGTGCCCTGGTCTGAGTTACCATTTTTGGGAACTTCCTGAGAGCCTGTGATGAGCTCCTGTAGGCTGTTCTAGGCTGAGTGGGTTTCTAGGAGCAGCTGTGGATTCTATCTCAGTTCTTGACCTGATGTTGACATTGGAGTAAACAAAGAGCTCTCTTGGTGATTTTGCCCTAGCCTAGCACCTGTCACTGTCCCTCAATTCTTCATTCACTCAGTTGAAAGGTAAACCAATTCTCTTCCCAAATCTAAAGGAGTCTTTAAAACCAGTCTTTCCTACTACAGATCACAATGTAGGGAGTGTGGATAGTGCCTGTACAGGTAATACATGCCTTTAAATTTGGTAAATTCTTGAAGACTGTCTTCAGATAGATAGCCTCATATGTACCCTGTGTGTTGTTGCTGTTCCCCCAGGAAACAAATTGGAGCAGAGGGAAGGGCAAAATGAAAGTGTGGCCCTCTGGTCACACATTTTTTTTAAAAAAGATTTATTTATTTTTATTAGAAAGTCAGATTGACAGAAGGGAGGTGATACAGAGGGAAAGATCTTCCATTTGCTGGTTCACTCCCTAAGTGTTTGCAATGGCTGGAGTTGAACTGATCCAGGAATGCCTTCCGAATCTCTCACATAGATGCAGGGTCTCGAGGCTTTGAGCCATCTTCTACTGCTTTCTCAGGCTACAAGCAAGGAGCTGGAAGGGAAGTGGAGTATCTGGGACATGAACTGGCACCCATATGGGGTCCTGGCACATGCAAGGCAAGAACTTTAGTAATAAGGCTACCATGCCAAGCCCTTCTGGTTACGTATTTTAACAAAGGCTGTGGACTAGGTGATAGTCACATGGACAAATAAGTGGGTACTCCCTTCCTCTATCTATCTATCTATCTATCTATCTATCTATCTATCTATCTATCTATCTATCTTCGATAGATGCACATGGGCACAGAGGGCCCTTTATAGTGTTCCCAAGTCATGCATATGCCATTTCCCTACTATAGCTCTATTTAGAGTTAAATTGATAAAAACCAAATGTATCATCTGCTAATAGCATGAGAGTAAGCCTGGCAGCTGATTGCAGCAGGTCTTGCATGATTTTTGTTCACAAACTGAAAAATCTCAGAGTCAAATCTCCTCTACCAGCTCTAGCATTTTGGAATTTCTGGAAGCAAAGACCATTGCTTGGGAGCTTGGTGCAGGAGCCCTCAGGGCTGGAGTAAGTACTAAAAATACTTCTCAAGGTATCATGAGCAGTCTTCTAAACTTATCTGGGGGCAAACCTTTCCTTGTCCACACTCTTGCCATACTGCAACCCTGCTCCCAAGAGGGATATGGTTTTTCATTCATATAGCCATCATGTTTACTGGACAACTTAATTCACAAATTTGATTTCTTTGAGTCCCTCTATCTGAATTACTTCCTCTATTTTGCATATGTAATGATATCCTTTCTTATTAGTTGTAGTAGGTAACCATGTAACCATGTTAGCATCCAAGTGATCCAAGCTGAATTTGTATTTTCTTTTAAATCGATGCATCTTATTGCCCTGGCCTTCCGTCTGTGGTTGGAAGACAATCCTACTGGTCACCCAGACTCAAACTGGTCATTGGATTTGAGCAAGGAGGACTCAACCTGGCTGATGATACTCATTCAAACTTCATAATGAATTTTGCATTCTTTATTTAATTATAATTCCATTTTTTGATGACTAGACTTTTTACATCAGGATTTCCCAATCTTGGCTCTATTAATGACATGTTTTTGGACTAGGTGCTTCTTTATTGTAGCAGAGCTCCCTGTGTATTACAGAATGTTGAGTGCCATCTCTGGCCTTTTCCCTTTAGATGCCAGTAGAATCTTCATGGTGACAACACAGGATATCTCAGGCTTTGCCAAATGTTCCCCTGGCATAGGATATGGGAAGTATCAAAAATGAAGCTTGGAGAGTGTACATATGATAGTATCATTCACTGAGTTAAGAAACATTTTAACCAGATTTTTGGGAGAAAATATTACATTTTGCTTTTGGACATACTAAGCTTATAGTTCCTTTGAGATCCAGCTCAGAGATATGAATTCTGGTGAACAGTTGATATTTGAAGCTGCAAATGTGGACAAGATACCTACCTACAGAATTAGCATGAGTAGAGGAGAAAAAGCTGGGGCCAGTTAGGGAGGGATGAAGCTGCAAAGAGGCAGGGAAGGAGCGGCCAAAAAGGTAGGATGTCTCAGAAGGCAGAAAAAATGTGTTACAAAACAGTGTGCAACCAATAGGATGGAGTGCTGCAGAGAGTTCAAGAAGAAAAGGACTGACAACACGTTGGGTGTGCATTGCGCCAAGGAGATAAGGGTTTTCAAACTCGTCTTTAGCATATAAATGTGTCTCTAAAATACTTCCTTTACTTGGGATTTTTTGAGTTAACTTAGGGTGGCCAGTGGTGAAGCTTCATGTATCCATCTTAACCAAGACCCAGGGGCTCAGTGCTTGCTGGTACCACAGCCACCTGACAGCTGGTGTTTTGAAGAGTTGTCTCCAAATTCCCTGCGCTCTTCCCAGTGCAGGTCCTCCTGTCCCTCCACACTGACATCCTCCTCTTTTGCAGATGACAAGTAAGAAGAATAGGCTCCTTCAGAGTGACTACATGAACATGACCCCCCGCAGGCCTGGGCCCACCCGCAAGCACTACCAGCCCTATGCTCCAGCACGAGACTTTGCAGCCTATCGCTCCTGACACGGACGCCTATCCAGAAGCCAGCCGGCTGGCACCCCTTCACCTGCTCACCAACACTGCTCTGGATAGGAAAGAATTGCCTCATCTTCAGCCGGCCATCGTGGGTCCCTGTTAGGCCACCAATGTCAATTTTTCCTAAGTGACTAGACCAAGGCGCAAGATCGTTCTGAAACTCTAAAATGAAATCAAGGAAATTTGCCATAGTGGGCTCTGTCATAGCGGCAGGGCCGTGATCCAAATTCAAACTTACCATGTATTTATTGATATCAAGAAAGAAAAGTGGATTCTGTTAGCCTTAAAATCTGCTTCCAAGCTGCTGACTGGGTCCAGTTCTTGCCTCATGCACCTGAGCATCTCAGTCAAGCAAAATGCAATAGTCAAAGACATTTTAGGTGGAGAAGGGCTAGACTATCCCTCCCCTGTTAAGTGGGTATTTTGGGTGGGTTAGATTAGAGTGTGGGCTTGGTAGGGAGACTGAAATATTTTAAAACTGTTAAAACACTGTCTGTCATTCATGAAATGAGCCATTTTGTTCATTTTTAGTGCTTCTACCCCCATTATCTCACATTAGTTTAGAGATATAGACATTGCTTTTGCTGAGCTCTAATTGAGTTTAGTAATCTTGGCCACTGATTATCCCTTTAAAGTAACATTAGGCAAACCAACTTGCCTTCCTCACACCTGAGATGGGAATTCAGCATTCATATTCATGGCATGATTGCCAAAGAATAAATGCATCCTTCCACATCAATAAGAGTGTGTGAAGAAATAAGGTCACTTTATGGCAAACATATTTGAATACTATAAAGGATAACTTGCTCGCTAGATCATTCCATTCAAGTCATAGGGTGATGTCTGTGCTTCCTGTTTGCACAGTTGGTTTCTTCATTGCGTGGGTGGAGATTTGAATGGGATGTGGAGAGAATGTCCACTAGGAAAGTGTTAAGCTTGTGAAAGAGATGTTCACATTCACTGGGGCATGAGGAATGAGTTCTGAGAAACTTCCTGTGAAGTAGAGAGATCAAAAGGAAACAGCATGACGTTTGGCATGTGCTGAGGAGCTGGCCAGCCTTGGGAGGAAGTTCCCAAAGACATTAGGCATTAGGCAGAGGGATCTGTGGGGAGAATTCCTTGACAGGAATGTTCCGTGCTTGGAACTCAGAGCTCCAGAACCCCATGTTTGTTCCTGAAAGCTGTATGGCCACTGATACGGACAAGTATTTTGGAGCATGTCTTTTGAGACCCTTCAAAGTCCTCAAGAGACTACAGGGCCTGACTCTGGAAGGACTGTGGATATTTTGTTGCCTCTGATTTGGGTCAACTGAATCATGGCCAAGGGATCTTGAAGAAAGACTCTACTGCACCTTTACAGTTCATCCAGTGCTCTGGTTATTCAGGCATTGAGGAGCTTTGGTTCTAGAAGCTGGTAGACCATGTTCATGTCCTGGTACTAGTTGAATGTCTTCAGGCAAATCACTTGATGTTTAAGACCGTGCTTCTATAACTAAACTAGAGGCAAATGATCACAAATGTCTGTTCATGGACTACAATCTCTGTGAGGACACAGCCCAAGTCTGTCTTTGCTTTGCTCATCTCTGGCATTTCGCCTCATGCCTGACATGTAATGTTAGCTGTGAATCTTATTGCCATATAGAGAAATTTTTCACAAAAAGTAAACTGGGCAATAATCTAAGAAGTGATTGTAATGCACATTTAAACCCACTACGAAGGGATGAGGTGCTAAAAGTATGAAAACCTCTTCATTTTCATCATTTTCCTGTTTCTTAGAATATCTTATAACAAATTGTAGGGCATTTCCTCCTTACTTCTTTGTATATAAAAAAAAGCCTTAGAACATTTTTCTAAACATGGGGAGGAGGAGATGGGTTGGAATCTTATTATTTCAAACAGAAAATGCTGTACTCAGTTGATTTTCAAATGGGCTTCCATTTCATGAATTTGATTAAATTCAAAGAAGGTCAAATGCAGCAGTACTTGGGAGATAAAGGACTGCTGAATATACAGCAGCCCTTGTGCTACTGCTAGGCTCTTGGCATACCAAGTTCTTCTATCTAACTTATCAGATTGTATTTTAAAATGACAAAGCTGGAGAGTTTTTAGAAAGGACAGTATCAAATAAATAAATAAACTTGAAAAAAAATGGAAAGATTTGATCTTTGGTAGTAAGTGGTTTTCTTTTCTAACTGGAAAAGTGGGTTTACTAAAGATGAATCACACTTGAGATTTTTCTTACTCACTCTGAACAGGACCAAAGTAGAAATATTATCTAGGGAAGTCCATTTTCACTATTAGTGTGAAGAAAGAAATGGCTTAAAAACAGTGGTTAGAGCAATGCTTTTACAGTTTCAGATATAGTAATTATGAAGAAAACAATGTCATTTGCTGCTATTATTATTCTAACAGTCTTACTGGCATTCCTATACTTTTTGATTGTGAGCTGAACTGTCTTGGGCTGAGCATGTCAAGTTAAGGAGACCAAGTGTACATTATATTTCGTGTATTCAGTGATAAAATTGCTAAATTACTGTGTCTTTTATTTAAATTTGGGCTTTAATGTTATATTTTAGAGCAAGTGTGCTTCACATTGGGAAAGAATCTGGAGAAATGTTTCCCTTTAAAGGAGATGTGATATATATTCTATAGATCGCTGGTTTAAACCCCTTTTTCCCCCCTCAAAAAACCAACTTGAATATTCATTACGTTTCAAGTAACCCACACTTTTTGCTTGTTTGCTTGGCTTCAGCCAGACCAAGGGATTTCCTTTTTGAGACGTCAGGCTGGGCTTGCCCATTCATTATGTGTGATATGACTGCTTCAGCCATGGCTCCATCAGATACACAGGCTTGTTAGTGGAGACACCAGTCCACACAGCTGTTTCCAAGCATGTTCATTTCTGCGTCCACCTGACCCCAACCTTTTGTATGCCAGATGAGAGCCATCATAGACTTGTAGACCAGTCTCAGAGTGTTAAATTTACTTACCTGCTGGAGGCTAGAGAAGTTGTTTGTGATAGATTTAGAAATAGGATATTTTGGCCACAAATCTTTATCCCAGATCAAAGACAGTGGGTGGCATGGACTCTTAAAATCTGGAGATGAGTCCGTGGTATCTGCAAGGCCAGAAAATCTTTGATATACTTTTCCTTAAGATCTTTATGCTTCTACACTTCTGTTTGAAATGTTTTTCCCAAGTTAGATTCCTGATTTGCTCCTTCGCCTCCTTCAGGTCCTTATTCAAGTATACATGTTGATTCTAGTTTGTTTTTCCCATGTCATTTGTTTTCTTTGCTTATTTTTTCCATAGTCTCTTACCGTCTACTACACCAGATGTCTTACTTATTTATTTGATATTGTTTATTTCTCCAACTGAAGGCTAAGCTCTATAAGCTAAGGAACTGTTTTACTTTTTTTTTGCCCCTGTATCTGTAAAGTCCAGAAAAGTCTTTGGTATATAATGAATATTTATTGCTGGGATGGATGAATCTTATGTTGTCCTAAAAATTAATGGTCAGGGCTGGTGTGATAGCTCAATGGGTTAATTATCTATCTGCAAGTACCAGGATCCCATATGGGTACCAGTTTGTGTCCTGGTTGCTCCACTGATGATACAGCTCCCTGCTTATGACCTGGGAAAGCAGTGGAGGATGGCCCAAGGCCTTGGGACCCTGTACCATGGGAGACCCAGAAGAAGCTATTGATTCCTGGTTTTGTATCAGCTCAATATTGGCCATGGTGGCCATTTGGGATGTAATCAGCAGATGAAGAATCTTTCTGCCTCTTCTCCTTCTCTCTGGAAGTCTGCCTTTCCAGTAATCACAAATAAATGTTAAAAATTTAATGTTCAACCCCTAAAGAGAGAGCCAGTCCTATTTTCTGTTTTCCTGTTAGTAAGTTCAAAAGTGCACTTTATTAGATAAACAGTAGGTAAAACATGTATGTTGCTAAATCTGGTGAAAGAAAATCTGACGGATACATATTTTAGGAATTTTTTGTGCAGTGAGGAAAACTAATACTTCAGAACTAACTAAAGAGATGTGCCAAATAAACCACAGTCAGGAAGTAAATTTTTTCCTTGAAGTCCTCCAAATTTCCTGCTAATGGGGTATTGACTCTGTCTTAAACATTTTCTTTAGCCTAAGACTTCTGAAAATGTTTCCTTTGTAGTTAAAATCTCACCCTACTTAGCCGCAGTTCTTTTCCAGCGAGTGATTTTATCCAACAAATTCTATGAATGCCTTGCCTGGCTCTGATTCAAAAGGAGCTTAAAAAAAAATCATGCGAATACCAGGGACAGAAATGTCAGCTTCTTCACCTGTCATGCTCATGTCATAACTGAGCCCTCTAGAAGCTTACATTAGTTCAGAACTAAAGCAACAACAAACAAAATGCTCAGCATGTGGAGCAAGCTGAAGATTCAAAGCAGACATATTAAATCTGCTGACTGCTATCCCCTGTGGGTCGAGGAAGGTTCTTGAACAACAGACAGCAGAGCTGGTCTGATTATTCATGTAGCAGCCTCTGTTTCACTTGGTGTCAGGCCTACTTTGAGGGCGGCCTGCAGTTGAACAGGTGTGCAGTGTCTGGTTGACTTTCTTGGGCTGTTAAAATGGATCTTTATGCAATGTAAGAAAGGTAAGCAACTTGTGAGAAGGTGAGTCTACGTGTTCCCTACCATTCCAAGAAAGCGTGAACTCAAACAGCCATTCACAAGTACTTCGCTGAGACTAATTAATCAGAAGACACAAGATTTAAAGATTGGCCATGAAATGAATATGTTGAGCAAGTATTCTTTTATCTTTTTTCTCCCCCCAGTATTCCTTTATTATAGTAATAAATATGATGTAAACTATTCCTGTAAAAAAAATACTAGTACCTAAAAAATCGAGTTCTAAGCCAAATGAAATGCAAGCTTCATGACTTCACCTATTAGACCTCCCACCGTATACTAGTTATAAAACTGTGTGGATAGTGTATCCACCCACAGCTCTGAATTTCCTTCTAATGTGACAAAAACAGATTGATTCACTCTAACACAGAACCTTTTCTCCCCTGTCATCTTGTTGGGGACAGAGGTGATAGATGAGAAAAATCAAAGAAACTTCTACATTCATCAGAACAGCGGCCCACAGGCTGGGCTAAGCCACAGCCAAGAGGATGGTCCGGGAATCATGCCAGCACTTTTTTGGTAGCTTTCCTCTTGAAGTTCTCTTGATGAATCCCCAACTGAAACATAACTTCTGACTTTCCAGTTGTTCTTCAGGAGTACACGGGGCAGATGGATGTCTCGACTTCTTTGATTGGCAACCCAAAGAAATGAGGATTTTCCCTTTGGAGATTCACTGACTCCTGGGACTCAGGAAACGGGGCCATTGTCTAAAGCAGAGTATGGCACACTTTCTCTGCATGCATGCTGTTCATTTCAAGGAATTAACCCTGCACCTGAAACATTTACAAGCCACTTCAGATGACATTTGGGTGATCCACAAACATCTCCATTTTTGCGAGGAGCCAGACCTCATTTTCAATGCAGTGTTGAGGTCCAACATGTATTTTTCCCAATGCCTACTTCCAACTTTACTTTGCTTCTTTAATTTCTGAAAGGGATTGGTGTGCCAGGGATTTGAGGCAGCAAAAATCCCTAAAGAGGAAAATTGATCTCTTGGTTGAGGTGGATTGGATTTGACTTAACTTAATCTGGTAGAGCTATCTCAATGATAGATTCAAACTCTCCTTTGGCTCCAAAGAACAAATTATGAGCTGTGTGAAAATGTCAGTTGAGACAGAAAAGCAGCAAACAGCTTTGTTTTCCTATAGTTGTGGTTTTATGCGGTGATGACACACGAAGATGAAAATGAATACAGCCTGAACTCCAGTTGTTATCTGAGTGAGCATCTCTATCAACACTGAAGGATATGTGTGGGTGTCACCTGCAAGCAGAGAGAGAGGAGAGAGAGAGAGAGAGAAAAAAGAGAGAGAGAGAAGAGGCCCTGTTTCAGAAACAAGAGCCACTTAAGCAGAGATCAACAGTGACAAGTGATGCTGTTGATTTCATAAGTTTTAGGTTCTGTTTCTTTCCCCTCACTCATCTCCATGTGTTCATTAGTTTTGAGACTAACAGATTAGCCTCTGGTGATGGAGGAACAGAGTGGAAAAGGTGGGCATGAACGGGCATCAGGGTGATTACCCTAAGCTGAGTAATTTCTTCAGTCTTCTGAGCACACATTTAACATTTAATATGTCAGCTTTCCAAGTGGGGAGAATTATGCTAACTTTTGGGAACTTGTGACATATCACCCAGGGCAGACAAACTTCAGGTTTACTGTTAGAAATTCACTTAGTACTTCTTATTTCATTGGCTCCAGGTTTCTTCTTCCTCTCTCATATGCTTCTTTCATTTGAGAACTATTTAATGAACACCTACGCGGTCTCAGAAGTGGGCTGGATACTGGGGATGTGGTAATGAGCGACATGGCCATCATTATCTCTCTCCTCATCAAGCGCAGAGTGCATAGTTTGCATATACATTTTTGTTTCATTTTTTCCTGCTCTTTACACCCTGCTCAGTGTTGATTGTGGAATGTAAGCCTTAATGTGTTGACCTTATTGGTTTGCCTGAAGTTTGTTTCTTTAAGATGTTCCTATTTAACATCTTTTAATGTTTTTAGTATCTCTGAGCAGGAATTGGCAAGATTTTATCTATAAAGATAAAAATATGTCAGTAAATATGTTAGGCTTTGTGATGATACAGTGTGTTATACTAACTCGGGATTGTAACGGGAAAGCAGCCTCAAAAAATAGGTAGTCTCCTCTTATCCTCTGGGTATACATTCCAAGAATCCAATGGATATTTGAAATCATGGATGAGAGTGAACCCTGGAGAGAAGGCACTATGATACTACAACAGTGGACCTGATAATCAACATGGCCACTAAGTGACTAGTGGGATACAAATGAAGGAGTCACACCCAAAGAAGAATAGAGCAAGAAGGTGTATAATTTCATGAAGTCACTCGAAACATTCCATCTAAAATTTATGAATTGCTTAATTCTGAAATTTTCCACTCAATATTTTTGGATAGAGGTTGACCACAGAAAGCACAAAAAATATGAAACCTCAAATAAGAGAAGCCTGATTTTGTAAACTAATGAGCATGTCTATATTTCAATAAATTTTATGGATATTCACATCTAAATTTCATATAATTTTAATGTCACATAATGATACTATGCTTTCAATTCCACTCTCCAAACACTTAAGTGATAATAACATATGAAGCATACAGTAGTGATGGGCTGGACTTAGTCTGTAAACTTAGGGTTTGCTGACCTCTGATTTGGATCTTGTAGCCTCAAGCTGGTCCTTCGGATCTAGCCGCAGTGTGCTTTTTCAAGAGAATCCCATTGAGGGTAGAGGAAGACGTTTCAGGAGTGTTAAAAGTTAAATGAGTGTACTGGAAAGTTAGGGATCCGTGAAGAAGGGAGACTAGACAAGAGGAAATTATGAGCAAAGAGAATGACAAAGTATT